TAAAGCTGACTGGCATATACTACGCGCGCACGTTGGTCTCGGCAGACTGTTTTAAATGGCGAGCTGGTTCCCGACGTTGAAAGTCGAAAAGCATACCCACTGCATTGCGGGCACTCGAGTTTGCTCGGTAACTCGATTCTCGATTTCAGTCGAACGAAAACATGGAAAATTCAATCGAGTTCGGTCGAAGTTTGCACGTACGCGTTTCTCCTTTTTCTAGACATTGATCCCACGAACGAACGAACAATCTCGCGTGTTCTCGGCAACGGTTTTATTCTTCTCGGTCTACGCACCGACCGAGAGTCGTGATCACGAAGATACAGGTGAAAACGACGGCGTTAGTCGAGCCCCGTATCGTAACGTTAATATCACCAGCGGGCGTCGTTACCGGAGCGTTATCGCGATATTAATAGGAAACGGGGGAAAACGATCCCCTTCGTCCCAAAGGGGATTTAAATCTTTCGGCTAATTAAATCGCTTACCCGAAATTCTCGGGCAACGATCCCGCGCTGATACAGAACCGACAGGCTAAGAAAGCAGACGTCGAGAAAGTATCGTCGAAGGCACGTCGCGGGGCATATTAAATAAAACGAGGGGAAGCCGGTAAAAGGAAAATGAAAACACGTAGGTAGATAGGGGGTGGACGAGGGAGATTAATACCGAGCCAGGGTCCGGGTTATACGTTATACGGTACGTCGGAAAGTTACGAGGCGTAGGGGCACTCGCGTAGTTCCATTAAAATCTTCCACGCGGCGTTTACTAACCCTTATCTTCGTATTCAGGGTATATCCGCTCCACGAGCCCGTAAAACCAAATTCCCTCGATACGCCCGGCAATACGTCACGTTCCGAGATCCACTCGGTTGGATACAGCGTTGGATCGAGTGCACAGAACTCGGAGGAACGAAAAACACAACGGACACAACTGATTCCTTGTCTACGTAGCTCGACACAATTAATCGATTCGAGTGCTATATCGCTGAACGTTCGACTATGATGGTCGAAGAAAATTTATTCTTGTTCGAAATGGAATAAAACAAGCAGACAGGATTTTGATAGCTACCCATTTCCTTCTAGCTGGAAAAGTTATTTCACGGCTACACGAAACTCTAACCCGGATCGACAATTACTGGTTCGCTGGAATATTCGACGGAATAGCAAACGCTACGGTAGGTTACCAACTATGTAACCACTGTCCGACCATTAGAGATAGCCAACTGGCCGTTGGCTGACCATTAGCGAGCCCTGCTAAACCACCGACTGACATCTACTCACCGCTACTTCACGATTACTATCTATTACGATGGCTACACCATCGATCGTCAATCAGAATTAAATGATCTTGTAATATTAGTATTTACGAGCAATGACTCCGAGCCTCCGTACACCGTCTCGCGTCACTCGTATCTTCATGTTGCATCGTAGAACATTCTCCGATCGAATAATTACCCAGCGGAATCAGGCGAGTCGAGCGACGGGGGCTACGATTCCATCCATCTTCTCGGCGTGGTGCTCGAACGTCTCGATTATGGTGTTGCTCTAACGAACCGAGATCGATGGAGTTCCCATTCCATTTATATCTTTATCCAGATCCGACGCAATTGCGTTTACGAACCCGAGAGAACCAAGAAACGCCAAGGTAGCTGAAACTTGGAATATATTCTTAGGACCGCGTGTCTTAGCTGCCAGCTGAAATTTTCCGTGTATGTACCATCTTTTCTGGTGTCACTGAAATATTCCAAGTCCTGACTCTCTCCAGTAATAAGAACCTACGAGAATGGATGGCCCTCTGAATATTTTCCGACACAGAAACGGGGAACTTGGAAATTTAAAAACTTCTATTCGTCCCTTAAGGTAACTAGGGTTTAATATAGAAACGATTCAACTAGTTTCTCGAATAGTTAGCGTACTTGGTATCTACAATGACATTTTAATATGTAATCTCAGTCCTAGATTAATAATCCAAATAATGTGTGTACAAGTCAATACGAAAATATTTTTATTGAAATCGATCTTAGAACGATCTTTTTCGTTGATTTGCCAAGCGAATAGAGTGCGGATTATTCCATGCAATTGATTACAGTTCCATCCCCTACCGGGGATTTGTGCAGGTTGGATCGTACATATAATTCGCGTCGCGAGGAATAATTAGCGTTTTTCTGTCCCTTCTCTTTCGGACTCAGAGCTCGAGTTCGCGGAGATTATTTTATTTACGAGCGATATCCGAGGAACAAATTTCACGGGGAAACGCGGACTGTAATTGAATCTTTGTAATCGATTTTCACCTCTTTCCTTCGGACAAACGGGAAAAAATGATCCGTTACGATTCAATTTCGTCGTTCCGAGTCAGCTTTCCTCGTATATCGGGAAATCGATGTTCGTACTGCAGGAAAAATTAATAGAAAACCAGTGCTTCGTTTTTTGGTCGACGAAATTACCATCGCCAACGCCGTGAACGCGACCACGTTCAAGAAACGGGCGACTTCGACCTGAAACTTAGAAGGAGTTTGCCTCGGAGCAAATTCAATGGTTTTCGTTTCCGTTTGTTTCGGGCCAACTTTTTGGTCGAAATCTCCAACGGTGTTGGAATTCTCCTCGTTGTGTCGTGTCCGTGTTCTGAAGAATGGAAATAGACTGCGAATCTCGTTAGAGAAATACATAGAATACATAGAAACAGTTCGTTCTTGAGTACCGAAACCGGTAACTGGAAAATATTTTTCATGCTGTCGCCGCGTAACGTACCGTTCTTGCTCGATCCTTTTGAGGCGACTCACGCTTCCGAGACGAGATCATTAGATTCCTTGGAGACGCCAAGGCGCTAAGTGCTCTCCGACGTACCGAGCAAAGGTGTACACGGTCGGGACAACGTATCTCCTTCCAGGCAAGCCTTGGAAACCTCACGAAACGTTTCTATTACTCTCACCGAGAAGAGAAACAGCCGTCGAGGGAAAACCGTTCGCACGAGCTCGAAAGATTTACATTTTATAAGACGACGCCGAGACCCGAAGCTTCTTTCGATTCCCTTTCGTCCATCTCGGTTACCTTTCGACGCGACCACGGGAATTCTTCGTCGCAGAGCCGAGCTTAAAGCAGTATTCTCTCGACTGGATAGCGTCAAGAAATGAAACGTGGATATTACGTTTCAACGTTAAACGGACGAGACAGTGGTTAAGTCCGAGAGAATCCTCCGCATCATGGCAGCGCCGACTTTCCACTTAGGGAAGATTCAGCTCCATATTTTGGGAGATTTGCAAACAACGGCGGGCATTCAACTGGGCTCTCGCGAATAGCTAGACGCGCAGGAACAGTTCATTTTCGTTACGACAGTAGCTGGTCCCGCGTTAAGGTACTTAACTACAAGTATACTATATGGCAGAGATAGGAAAATTCATTACCTGGATAAAGAGTCTCGAATAACGAATAGAAGATAGAAAAGTACCTCGTCATCATCAATTGATTAAACGTAGAAATTTCAATTTGTATTAGTGTATCTGGATAGTATATGTAGATACTCTGGGTATCAATCCGTATCGATACAATTAAAATATATCGTCATCATTACTCCCGATCTTTATTTATTCCAGCTCGTCCTGAATCCATGCACTTTTCAAGTTCTACGATATACCGAGCCAAGCTTCTTTTTTCTCTCGTCGAGAACACGACTCGCCGTTCGTAATTTATCGAGCTGCCTCAAACCTCTTCCGTTCCGTTGATTTCTACTTCTCGTGCGCGAGAAACGCGCGAATCCGTGTTAATTATCCCGTGTGCCGGCAATACTTGAGAAAAATCTCGTCGTTCGTACAACGATTTCCAATGAAAAAAACCAACGGAAGTGTTTATCGTCCAAATACTCTGGTTACTTAACAGTTGGTTAGGTTGCTCGACTGTGCAGTTAGGACCTTACTCTAATTTGACGAAGAAGATTCACGATTCGGTCGCGATGTCGTCGAGAAAGCTCTTGAATTATCCATTCGTTCGCGATCCGCGGTTCTTATTTATGTACATCGTTTAATCAAGCACCGCATCGGAATCCGTGTGAAACTTCGAAATTGGATTCGTGAGGATCTAAGGTTCTACAGTTGGTCGATCACGGCCACTGATTAAGAGGTCTCGCGAACTTGGTCGAAAGCAAAATCCGAGGGTCGAAGTTACGAGTCTCGAAGAGTCAATTACGCAGGGTTTGAGCACTTTAAGCGCTGGAACGGTTGTTTGCTACAGATGCGAGAATACCGGTGCAGGAAAACGCTGAACAAACACGTTGTTTCATCGCGTTTCGCCAAAATCTGGATTACGTTTCGCTCTGCCGTATTATACCGCGAAACCAAATACGACACGAGGATTAAACCAAACGGTCGTAAGCTTTTGTCCGCGGAAATCTTCTTACGAAATTTACTCTCGTCTTGTGTTTACAAGCTATTAAATTCATCGTTCGAATCGAAGACGCGATATAGGTATACACTTATTGTGCACCAACAAGGGTGGCCAGCATTGCTTATGTATGAAGCGCATAAACAGTTCCGAATAAAATCCAAATCTATTTATTCTTCATCGTCACACATTTTCCACCTTCGTATCTCCATATCAATTGGATTTCTTATAGACTTCAATTTTATATTCCATTGGCTTTTCTTTTGCATACAATCAAATTCCATTTCTCCTCCCTCCATGTAATATTTCCCTTTGTCCTCGATAATAAATTTATTATTACAATCGATCGATCGAATTCATTCGGTTTATTGCAAATGTTTTATCGCGGTCGAGGATTATGCAGTCGGTTGCACCACGTATCCCGTACAAGAGCATGAAAAACTTCAAAGTTCGAAAAATAAAGTCGACCTGTCGTTTCTAACTACGAAATTATTTTTTTTTTCTTTTCAAAGGAACTCCAGCTCGTTTCTCCAGTTTCTCGCGCGATCGTTCTCCTGGCGATTGGGTCGAGTGGCGTCAGACCCGAGGGAAAAGGGGAGAATTCTTTCTTCGGAGGAAGCTGTCGAAACTTACCTGAACACCACCCACTCCAACGATGAAGAGCAGTTGAACCATGAAGAGGGCTGCCAAGAGATTCATAAGAGTCGTGCCTGCCAGGCTCCTCAAGTCCGAGAACAGGCTGAAACACAACGAGCTTTCTGACTGTCGTCGTCTCGGCGAAAATTTAGGTGACGGGGTCCGTTTCCCACGGTAATTTACGATAACGCGAGCCTTCTGCGCAAAATTGGAAATACACGGGAAACGTGTTTCTTCTTTTCCCTGTTCAAGTAAGCTAGGTTGCCGAAACATGAAACAGAAGTGAATTCTTTGCCTCGCTCGGATAATTTCAGGAGTTTTGTGAGAACACCTGTGTCCTGTATTTTTTACAAACTTACTACCAAGCAACATTGTGTACAGACGAATAATAATTATATGTAGTACGAAAACAGCAGAAATATATTAGGTGTACGCATCAATAAATAATCCACTATTACCCCTGTATACTTCTGTATTTCTATGGAAAGAAGATTTTTTATTACTTCAAGATTATTTGTTACCGTTTCTCATAATTCCACACCATTTTGACCGAACAAAAGATCGGAAAGACATACTGAATTGAAATTGTATCACGACCTTATTGTAACCATAGTAGATTACTTATTGGAACACCTAATACATATTCGAATCCGCGTACGTCGTCCATTGTATTCTCGTGGAAGAGAACAATTTGCATTCGTTCGTCCAATAGTGTAGCGAGCAGGGAAACGCAAAATTCAATTCGCGTCGAAGAAACATCTTCGTGATCATCTGTTTCTTTTGTAGCGTTCGGCTCAACGGGTATCAAAGATTTACAAAAGAGAGAGGGGGAAAGAAAGAGAGACAGAGAGAAACATGTACACGACGGGATAGAAATTCTCGAAGGAAATTCGTAGAGAGTTCGAGGAGTTTTCACGATTACGACAGGCGTGAAACGCGTTGCGTAACAGGGACGATACGGAGTCGACGATGGATAGGAAAAGTGGCCGAGGGGTTCACACGAATAGCTTCTCGAGTAATTCGTCGAGTATGAATAATTCATAAATCACACAGAGTGGTCGAGCTTGGTCAAGGTGAAACTGTGCCTGCGCGCCGGCTGTACATACACGTCCAACCTTCTTTTTCGTTTGCTCGCTGAATCGACACCGTATACGTATCATGAAATACCATTGATTTTTTTTCGTACAAGAAAACATTCCGATGATCTGATAAGTATTAAGTTATTATGTAAGATTATTTGACCAAAACGTCGCAATCATCGACGGAAAATTAATGTTTTATAATTGTACTCGAAGGTTTTAATTTCGCTTTGAATTAGATTTCCACGAGGCTCCGTGATCTCTGCGGAAACTGCATAAATAATGCATCTACGTACATACCAGTTTGTTTCGCGTTACGTAGCTCTCGATGTTTCGGAAGGAACAGTCGTTGGTCGTGGTGTTAACGTTTTCAACGGATTTGCATGTTGAGCTTGTCGCGAAACCGAGCGTCGAGATACACACGAGAGACCCCAAGAAAATTTCAGGACAGAGGGAAGACACGAGCGACGTTTACGAATATTTGCCAGGGTAACCGTATCGAAAGCCGGAAGCGAAAAGGAGGACTAGGGGATGTGGAAGTTCTTTACAGAGAATGTTTGTCGAGAGCGACGAATATGGTTTCTCGATGGTTGGATCGAAGATCAACCGAGCCACTTCCATCGGGAACATCGCGAACAATGTTTCTTGTTAAAATTCAAACGAAAACGAGCGACCTCGGAGCCTCGGAATTTGTTTGATCTTGGAAGCATACATGCCTCGATCGTCCAATTAATTCTCGGCTGTTAGAACAAGCTCGACTTCGAATGATCGCGTCACGAGCCTCGCGTCGATTTCAAATTATTTGCATCTTCTCTCGTTGTTCGTTTCTGCTTTAAGACAAGCTCGTTATTCATCGTTCCAGCGTCTACGAGAGCAAACCGAATACGAAATGTCGTTCCTTTGATATTTGAAAACGTTTCGAGATACGTTACGAGAACGATTCGAACGGAGAAACCGAAACTCGAAACAACGCCAACGGGAGCAAGCCGATTCCGGAGAACAGCTTAAGCAGACAAAAGACGACTGTTTCGATGTTACAGTGCTATACATATGGACGGGGTAAACTTCTCGAAACATGCGCATCTTTGAGGATCGATCGACGAAGACGGCGTTGCATACTTGTCGACTCATTTCCCATTGTTAGTGAAGCCGATGCCCTGATCCAAAGAGTTGTTTTTGACAAATGAAAAGGGAGAACACGAAGGGATGGAATGAAGATGAAACGTGGAAATGCGAAGCCGCGGTTCGTCGTTTGGATCAGCCGATAAGCAACGATCCGTACCTACACTTTTTATTAAAATTCCTTCCATACCAAAGCCATATTTCCGTGGAATTCGTATCGACGTCGAGCTTGTCGATATTCCCAACGAATACGAGCTGCGTACGTAGCCGGATTTCGCAAACAGATCGTAGTCGGAATAACGTTCGAAGAGAAAAAAAGTACCTTTGGACTCGGCTGACTTCCGTTCCATCTCCTTTGCGACGGAATTTACTATTCATCGGTTCGACTAGGTGTTCCTTGCGCTGATCAGAGCCAGTCACCGCCTCTTGTTTTCCGTTTACGAGATAAACGGCCGGCAAATAGGTTGGTTTGTTTCTGGGAATACGCCGCGATTCGATTCTTCTGTCGTGCAGTTTCGTGTATTTTAATAAAGTAACCATGACACGGTTTGCAACAGTTACGGTTAAAATATGAAATGAAAGATAACGAAGACATTTAAAACGCATACTAGGAGTATTCTTCGACTGTGGCAAGACATGTCGAATAATGTGTGTAACACACAGCCACGAAATATTGGTACCAAAGTTCATAAAATAACTATCGATAAAAAATTGAAATTATTTGTTGCAAAAACACATCCTATTAAATGTTTCTACGGAATACACATATATTCCGAACGCCCCTGAATTCGATGGTACACGGGGGGGAAGGGGCAGAAATGGTAATGCGCGCGCGACCGCGGGAAATAAGCATACTCGGGAAATTGCCGAGAAACGTCCAAGTCCGAGGCCTTTATGGCTTGGGGAACCTTTAAATTTCTTCCTGTTCGAGGGCCCGACCTCCCTAAAAGTCTATCGACGATTTCTCGTTCGACTTGTGAATTATTCATTCGAACGAACTTTGAACGGTAGACCCTATCGGGTAGAGGAATCGCGAACGAAATCGTAGAAAAGGATTACCCCAAGCTTCCTTCGTTTGTGTCCCTTCGAGACAAATTTCTCCCCTCCTCTCTTGCCGCTGGAACGAAGCCGGAAGGGAGATTGGTCTACAAAAGAATTCTCGGAGAATTCAACGTGCTCCAATCGTTGAACGCGAAGGAAATTTTACCGATTAACCAGAGGGTTGGCAACGTCACTCCCGACTCGTTAGCTTCGAATAATTGCACTCGTGTCTTTTTTCTTTCCATATAATTCAGATAGCCCTCGAAGGTTTCGTACTAACTTTCGAAAACACGTCGGAGTATCAGCCTTTAAACGGGCTGGCCGGAAGCTCGAAAGTCGCGTAACTCAGTCGGGTCGTTCTATCGATCAACGTCTCAAAAGCCAGCCGAATACGGTTCTTCGGCGAATTTCGTTTCTTTCTTCAGCCCAGAGCAATTCGTCGAGACGACAAGCTTTTTAACCGTCCCCTGCGATTCGAAACGTCATCGGTAAAAAGTGCCAGACGAAGATCGATCGATCGATTAGCTAAGATTTATGAATCCTGTGTTTCGAGGGAGTTCACGGAACAATCGTGAGTCGCGACATCTATCGAGAGTGCAATCTCTCCGAGGGATAAGTTTTCCGTGAAAACTCTACCATTTTCGCTTCCAACCCGTTGCTTCGCGTTCGCGGTTCTGCGCTTCTTTAAGCTTCGGAAGCTACGCGAGCGATCAAATCCCTGATTCGCCTGCGAAGAATCAAGTTGGGGCGGTGGTCTTTTTTACGCGAGCGTAAAAAAAACTCGCTGTTGTAGCGACCATTGCAGATAGAATACATTTTATCGCGTCGTATTCGTTACATTTGCAACAAATAAATATCGTGCAAGGTAGTATCGAGCAAGTAAATCCTTTCTTCCTCCATTGTACATTCGTATCTTTTGCCCATTCTTCTATTCTTATTGCTTTTACCATTTTCGCTGCTTTTTTATTTCTTTTACTAATGTTATTATAGCTGTATTACGTGCTTCGATTTCTATAACCCCCTTGTATTTAAATGAATTACATATGCATACTAATATTAGTAATATTATCGTAAAAGCTGTACAATGAAAGTAGAATTCGACTTCTCGACACGTCGTAATGACTTGCACGCGAGATTAACCAATTCAATTAAAGATGCATTTACAGGTTCGAATAATTAAACAAATTTGCTCACATGAACTGAGTCGCTGTATTCCATTTGAGAACCGTTTACACGTTCAAACAATAAACTATAATTATAATTAGTTATTACAATTAAACGATAAGAAAAATAACGGTAATTATTTGTCAGGAGCGTTGGCTTCCATTAAAACGCAACGACTTGTTTGCTCAAATGTGAATGCACAAGTCAATTTGCTTAAATTATTTGAACGTATAAAAGGACCTTAACTTTCGCAAAGACAAACGACGATCGCGTTGATTGTATCTGCCCACATCGATCACGTATAAACAAAAGCCAATATCGTTCGTTTCGAGTTTTTACCAGTTATTTCTCAACCAGCAAAGTTGGTGGCTGTGTCCAAACGCTCGAAGACATTTTCATTAGAGAATTCGAATGATCCCGAGGATGTCACGATTGCCTTCTGGCGATCCCCCACAATAGCCCCTACCACCGAAAAGCCGAGGAAAATTACTTTGATCGATTGCACGCGATCCAAGAGGGTCGGGGCCGAAGTTCTTGCGGTCGGAGACTCTCGGTCGATCCATGATTCGGCTCGGTTCCCGCGCCCGCGATATCCAAACTTTCTCGCTCGAAAGGCACGTTGATTCGATTCCTGACGAGCTTCCGAGGACATCGTCGTCGCTCTATTTATACCCATCTAGAGTTCCAAAGTTTCCGA